ATCTCATTCCTATCAAAAGTTATTCAAAAAGTGGCACCCTGCACTGTATTTTGGTATGGATACTAATAATTATACTTTCTTTTATCAGCATAGGGAAGGAGAAGGAGAAGAAAAGGAAGAGGCATGTGAGAATGCCTGATATTGGAAAAGAAAAGAGAAACAGACAGATACATTGAAAGAATGCAATGATATCCCTACATAATAAGCAGCTATCTCATTTAATCACGTATGGAGCAAACGAGATGTTCAGTATAGTTTTATATCAGACCGAAGGGAGGAGAAAAAATAAGCACAGTTGCTCATTTTCATCGAAGTTTATCGTTTCAACGTGCCTCGCACTTTCAAATGCCGAAAACAACTATTCCTCGAAGACAGTCACAAACAGCTGCGACAGTCAGATGGATCGAGGAAACAGCTTCGCAGACCGACTCATAGTCATCTGATGAGGAAGAAGTAGCCGACATGGAAGTGGATGAAAAATATGATATGTCAACAATGGCCGATCTCTTCGAGTTGAATCATCGAGCCAAATAATCAAACGTTTTACACTATGCTTGCTCTGATTCCGAAGTTTCGGGAGGACTTTCAAGAGAAGAATCTTCAGCTCAAATTGTTTAGACGCTTTTGGCGAACACTAGAAGGCTACAATCAAGGCCAATCGTACAGCGATGTTCTGAATGCTCTCGTGACTGCCCTTTGTTTTATTCCTGCATTCCTTTCTCTGCTTTGAAACACTTCTGAATTGTGCCAGCAGAGATCTGATCCTTTCTTCAATAAACTGAAACTTCTTCACAATGAGAATTTTTCCATAGCAGCAGAATGACGAAATTCATTATTGTTTTTTCATCCGAGTTTGTGGAGACCTACTAAAGAACCTGTGTGGTCATCAGTTAGCATGACCACCGTATTTTACACTGTTTTTAACCTATATACACATGTGAAAACTGAAAATAAATAAAAAAGAGCAGTTTTGGAAAAAAACCTCTTTTTTCGGTCATTCTTTTTTTCAGTAAAGTCTACCTTCCTCCATAAGGAAAGAACTTTTTTTAAAAAGCGGTGCGTACTTTTGTTGCCCTTCAAATGGTGATTCGAATGGCGTATGACGGTCGGAGAAAAGTTTCGAAACCATGGAGGAGATAGGTTTGCGAGAGAGCGTACTCATTCTGTAGAGTGCTTACTCTTGTCAGAAATGTGCCACACAGATATTTTGGTTTTTGTGACTCAATGATACACGATTAGACTCAGTTTTTGATGGAGAATCCGAATATATCAAATTCGAAATTATAGTGAACGAAAGGGGGCAAAACCTCAAGTTTTCTCAGAGGGATGCAAATTTTTTGTTTTTTTGGTGCTCTTAGTATTTTGAGAATTTCTCCCAAAAACTTGATCGAAATCGGAAGAAAAGGTAATATTCGGAATCAGCGCAGTCAGAAGTATCTGAATATGTAGCTTTCGACCAAAAAATGAGATAGTGCTCGATTTTTGAATTGCGCGCATCTTATAACGGAACTAAATCATGAATTATTTTGAAACCAAGTATCAATTTTGTTTTGTTCAGAAAGTTCTAGGATACCGATCCATGCAAGCCACGCTAATACTTTTTTACGCGATGTTAAACTCATGCAACCATTGAGTAAAGGGTGAATGTATACTGAAGGTACTAGGGATACGAGATTCACGTGAAAATAAGAAAAAAAATTCAAAATCAGACGAGAACCAAAGCAGAAAAAAAATCAGAACGTATATCAGAACCATATTCTTAAGACTCCAAAATGATTAATTATATATTTTCTAAATATTAAATGTTCTATTGTATTAGATTACAGAATGAAAAATAAAAATAAAAGACTTGTTCTTCTTGGGAATCGTACATTCGAATAAATAGGTGATTTACTACTATATATGTAAGGGTACGCGTTAAGACTGTACAGGAGAATAGGGAAAGCATATGACTTACAAATTTAGTCGCGTACAGGAAGTTTATAATATATTTTTATATTGATTCCTTAAGTATAATATTTACCACAACGATTGTAAACATTATTTATGTGTGCTATGCATTCTAATTTTAATGTTAAACAGATGACGTGTTATTGATTCACATTTTTTATGTTTAATTCTAATTGCTAGAATGTTGACCGTTTATCAACTATGTCGCAATCTGAATTAAGTATGTTGTGATGGTTTTCTAAGATTATCTTCTTCACTGTGATGTGACGAAGAACATCAGCTTCAGACAAAAGAACTCTTGATTTTAAATCGAAAACAATATAATCAATGAAAATCAAGAAGAATGGTGGTCCTAAAATGGATCCCCGAGGAACATCCATTTTATCCATTTTAGGACCACTACTCTTCTGAGATTGATTGATTCTCAACGGTTCAGATATTCCCATTAATTATGGTCACTATGTTCTTATATTATTACTTTTCTTATTGTATTTAATGCATTGAAAACTGCTGATGAAAGAACAGAGAAAGCAAAGAAATATGTAAGATTTTATATGTTTGCCGTGTGAACTATAAGAAGTATCTCGCTTTTATATTTGTGACCGTGACCAACCCGTCATACAATTAGTCTCTATTTTTTTGCCAAATTACTCATTAGCTTACCACTTGTTACTTCTCCTCTTTACAGCTATACAATTGTATGGTCCACCTTTAGATTTTTTAGAACATAGAAAGCCTTCCTTTCGACTTACGCAAAAAGTAAACTTGGGTTTTTTTCCTTGTGGAGTCTAATATAACAAGAAAAATTCCAAAATGAGCTATTTTAAAGTAGCCTTTACTCGAGTTATTAATTGCACGATAAATCGATTTTATCACGTCCTTTTGATTCGAATGCAAGTAGCTGGAACCCTTCAGCCCGGACGGCTTCTGAAAGTGGTCACTACACACAACTGTTACTACGAAAATTCCGATCTTAATTTTTGCTACTTTTAGACATCGCATTTTCCATCATTTTCGAAATAAGTGCTCCACCAACTGACAATGGTTATTAGTATATCATTACAAAACAATGTTGGTAAAGTAACAAGTGCAATGTTACCAGATAGTTTTAAAATGGATGAATTTACAAAAATGTTATCAGAAAAATTGGGTGATATTGAAGGACATC